TGAAAAACCTAATGAGTAATCAACCATATACTTAAGAAAATCCGACTTACAGCCTAGGAAGGAACATGAGAGACCATTTCGTTCAACTGGTGGGATAAATATTATCTGCAAAAAGCGAGCTAATTAGAAGAGTTTCGTATCTATAAAACTCCCTTAAGAATTATAATCTGAATCAACCCTTACATATCCTCTAGAAGAGTGTTATTAAATTGCGAGTGAAAAGTCACAATAAATTCTAAACCATGTGAATTTAGAGAAAACTCCAGGATAACCAAAAGATAGGGCTATTGAATAAGGATTACTTAATTGTAAATTTGATCATAAAGGAAGAGTTACAAGTTTGATTTGAATACATTTTCGGCTGAGGACGTTAAACCAAACACTTTTTGAGAGACAAACCATGTGTTATCTTGTATTTTGAGTATATGCATGAAAAGTCTAAATGTGATAATTCCAATCAACCCGGATAGCTATTGCATCAAAACTAACATGACCCTTGCATAAGCAAAATAACTAGAAATATTCAAAATAAATACAAAGCAAAGTCAATCAAATTTAAAAACAAATGCAAAGCAAAAACATATGCTTTAATGTTCATTGATCTCTTATAAAAAATTATATGTTACACTCGTCGAGCTCCAAGTGCTATTATTTCCTATGCTAAATTTTTTAGTATAAAATTCATTGTTATTACATGTTGTGCTCTTTTCTTTTCCTACAAATTTTTTTATGGCATGCATAGGATGGAGAATAAGTTTAGGGGAGGCACATGTATACTTACCTTAAAGTACTTCTTATAATTGAGTTGTTCATAATACTCTAAAGTGGTGACTCATGCTAAATCCTGAGAAGTTTACAAGATTATATAATGACTTCTTTAGAATTGCAAATACTCATTAAAAGGGGGACTAGAATCAATGTCCTAGTAATTGAGGCATTCAATTTAACAACTTTTACCTCAACCCTAAAAAGTGTAATTAAAATATAAGTAGTTAATCATAGATACTTTAAACATCTTAATTTTCAAACTCAACCAATTTAATCAATACTTGAATTTTGAATTGATTATAATATTTCAAAGTTTACTTTAAGAAGCATTTAAGAGATATTAATTAGGGGAGATTAGCATTCAAAATCCTTAAGAGAAATGTGTTTAACCAAATATATTAATTCTCAGTGGAATTGAAAAAAATGAAAAAAAAAAATGATCAAATGGGTTAAAAAGAAGAAAAGAAAAAAGGAAATACAAAAGTATTATAGGTCTGATTCAAAAGAAAATTTAAAATAAGTGACAAGTCTCTGTGAGAACAAACTTGAGGTGAGCATAAAAATAAAAAATTAGTCTCTGAGTCATTTTCTAATTAATAAGACTTAAAAACTCTTACGATATTATATTTTGGAAAAAAGTAAATTAATTTTTATTTGATTGGTAGACTATTAATTAATTTTAAAATATCTTGGAAAAATGAAATTATTTCAATGACATTATATTAAGAGTTTTGAGATATGCTTATGATCAGGGAGATGGGAAATAAAGAAAAAGGCAGGTTATTAGATATTAATGAAAATCTAATCCTGAAATTATATTTCTAAGTTTATTATTGCACTTATGTAATTTTATTAGAGGATCAGGATGTCCCACATGAGACTAAGAACACTATTTAAGTTCTACATTAGATATGAAGTTATTGAGAGCAAGTATTAAGTAAGTTGAGATGGATAAATTGCAATTCAAGGATGCCAATAACTCCAAAAAATAGAGAAGAGGGTGAGAGAAGAAGAAAACACAATAGGAGAATAAATTACCATATTTTTCCTTTCTTTCATGTCTCCAACGCGGACTGAATACACAAAATATTAATTCACTAAAAATAAATTTGAACTAATTAACTATATTTGCTAAACTAAATACAATGCTTACAAAGCCAATCATCGCATCTTCCAAATATTCTATCATTAACAGCCCTTTCAAAATGACCTTGCTCCAGAAGCTGGGCAAGTAATAGAAAGAATGAGAAGGCACAATAGATATCTCTTGATTTTGTTGCATGAATCAGTCTTTCCAAAAAATAAAAAAATCTAACAATGTTTCCATCTTGTGACGGCAGATTAGGAGCATAGGGATCTGTCTGGGCAAAAGGATGAAGAAGTTGATACTTGCAATTGAATGAGGCATAAAGAAGGAAATATAATGTTCTGCAAGAGGCGTCGGGCTTTGAAAATGGTGACATAAATCTAACATTCTTTAATGGAGGATGATCTGTCAATCAGTAAAGGTAATGCTCACAAGGAAGTGTTTGATGACGGCAAGATTTAGGAAAGACGGGAGAAATATTGGCGAACAATTTGGACAAGCAAAGGTTCTTGAAGGAGAATGAAGTTCGGTGGGAACAAATAGAGGAGAGTCATGGGTGTCTAGGATGGAGAGAGGAAGAAGAATATATACAATTACTAAATATCAACCTTCTTCCTTACAAAGGCATCATCAATTTGTGCTTCAAATTCAACCAGCTTGTTATAGAAAGCTGATTATGGCAACAACACAACTATTCGATCAGGGAGATAATTCTTAGGTAGTTTCCTCTTATTATGAGAGTTTGCAGAAGCCAGTTCTGCAGACTTTGCAGATGAAGAGCATAATTCTTCATGGAGAGCTTGACACTTTGTATCGAAAGGGCAGTACAAACAGAAAAGAATAACCGTGAACCAATTGTTTATGATTCCTGATCAGGACAAACAGTAAGTCGTCTTGGAGGGGATTTTGGACGGGCTTGGATGGGATGATGCAGTCACTAGCGATGGAAATTGCGGCGCTGAAGTCAAAAAGTTAGATATTGGATGTTGAGATATAGATCAAGTGAGACCCATGAAAGTCCAAAAACTATTGGAATGAATAGGCGAACAGATCTTAGATGAAGCAAATGATTGGATCTTGCAGGCAGTTCAGTGAGTGCAACTGGCAAATACAGGGGAGGCGAGGAGTCGATCAACGGTGAAGTAGGGAACGAGAGCACCAATTATTACGATCTAATTTCTTGGTCTTGATAATATGCTGTATTGCTGTTCAGAGATGTCCAAAAATAGGGTGTGGTGGGGTGGACTGGAAGGGGAGAGAATCATAGAAGAGAAACGCAAATTTTAAAAGGGTAAATGATCATTTGATGATATCGAAAACTTTGAAAAATAGGAGAGGGAGGAGAGAAAAATAAAACACAAAATATTCCCTTATTTCCATGTCTCCAATGATAACTATCTATAGAATACAAGAATTATTATTTCATTAATAGTAATTTATAACTAATTAATTATATTTATTAACCTAAATATGAAATTAATCATCTCATATTCTAAATATTCTATCATTCTCAGTCATTGGAAAAAAAAGAAAAATCTCTCATGACACCTCTAGGGATGTTTAAACGGGAATGACTTTTTGGCTTAATTTTTATTTGCATTGCTTTACTTGTATCCATGTGTATTGGTGCTTCTTTGGATTTGCATTATCCAGATAGTCATCTCAACAAATCTCCCATCAGGATATCTTGAAAGAATTTAATTTTTATGTGGTTTAGTTGCGGAAATTAAATTTCTCAGCATATTAATCGTGGTTCATTTGTTATGATTATTGTTCTGGGTAATTAAATTAGGCCTGGACTGCTGTCAGGCCATCAGTTTGGTTTAGGGTTTCAAAGTTGCACAAGTTAGTTCTCTGTGGCTTACGTGTGGCTTCTTTCACGCCTTCTTTATGGGCCCATCACTTTCCTTATCCCAAGTCCACAACTTGTTGCAACTTTTTAGTTTCTATGGACTCCAAATGACCTAGCATACGAACAGCTCAATTAAAATTTATATTAAATCAAATACTAGCTCTAACCAAAATTTTCACAGAAGTCAGTTAAACTGGCAATCAACTTCTTTTTACAAACATATGATCATAATTAATGACATCAAACTTGAAACATAACTCAATATGGTGTTTTGGGTAACACCACTGCAATCTGAAGCATGATTTTCCTTCTAGCAAAGCACGATAAAGTCACGATACAACTTAAATGCATTATAGTATTATTAAGAACCATCGTAGATATACACAAAAAAAAAAAAAGCATAATCACCTTGATTCATATAAGTGGGCTCTGATGAAAGGCTACTCAAATCAGTTGAGGCAGATGCATTTCTACGAAGCTTTGACATACTCCCATTGCTTTCTAGGCCTCTAAAGCCAAAAACGGATACATGGATTAGCTTTCAAAAATATGGTTAATATTGGTATCATCTCATATTCTTCCATTAAACAAGCTTTTTATTATACCTTGATCTCAAATCTACTCCGCTGGTTTGTCTGCGCAAAGATCCTAAACAGAGAAAATGAAGTTAAGAAGAAAAAAAAATATTTAAAACTTGGAAAAATGAATATGATGCTATTTACTAATATCACAAATACAACATTCTGGGCTAATTTTGGATATATTTAATTTCTTCAGACTGATCGAATATACCAAAATATCACTAAAAATTTTTATTGCCATTACAGCATTACCACAATAAAAAAAAGCAGCAAATGATAAATTTTAACTAACTTAATTTTTCTCTAATCACATATTATTCGTTGAAACTTCTATAATAGAGAAAAGAATTAAACATAAGCCACAAATTCTCCTTTCACACTCATTGAGTGGGAAAATATTTGCGTACATAAGACATATGCAGCGGTGCGTATGTCAGGGGTTATTCAGGGGTTACAGGGGGGTTATATCCGGGTTATACCCCCCTGTAACCTCCGTGTAACTCCCTTGTAACCTCCGTGTAACTTATTTGTACCCATGAAATTACAGAAGCTCGGAACTCATTTGTAGGTTACAGGTAGTTTACAAAGAGGTTACAAGAGAGTTACAGAGGGGTATAACCCCGATATAACCCCTGGACGTATGCAGCGCTGCGTAAGTCTTATGTACGCAAATATTTTCCCATTGAGTGATCCATCAAATACCCACACTTGATTCATGGAAACAACAAATCGTTCAAACTCTATTTCATTTCGCCTTATTCTTTAAATTAGAGGCAGTTCGGGAGCATTTAGCAAAAAAGAATGGACCATTTGGCCTCAAAAACTATCACAAAGGTTCAATTGTTTTGACCTTCTAACGTGATTTTATATCAACCATCTGTTCATTTGTTACATATATGTGTGGTAGATATCCAAAGTTATGCTCTTACCCCCTATAATTTATCACATTTTCAAGACATTTATTAACGTGAGAATTAACTCAAAGAACTAGGCCACTTTATATATAT